CTTCTCAGTGACTTTGAAGACATATTTCATGTAAAAGAACAAACACGAACTGCAGAGGGTAACATGCTTGATTTAATAAGAGTATAACCTGCTACAAGTCTTATTAGCGGAGCAGCTGCCCTTTAGCAGAGCTGCTTAATATATCTGAAATTGAACAAGTCATGAATGCAAAATTAAGTTTCACCCTATGCTCCCATTTAGTATTTTTTAGGCACAGTAAATCATTTCTTTATTCAAGAGGCCACATGGTTTAAAACCTCTGGAGATCCTTAGTTTTATATATGACATAAGATTAGTGGGTGGATAATTTCTAGAGCAGGATTTTAAAAAACAAAACTATTGAAAGAAATTAGACCACGGCAATGAGAAGTGCGCTCTTTTGTCTTCTCAAACCCACAAATCACCATGGTTGCTTGTAAATTATTCAGGAGGTTCAAGCCTCAGCAGAAACCTGAGCATAATTAAAATGCAATAAAATAACATTAGGGAGGAAAGGCTGTTAGAGGGTGATGTAGCTGGCTCTTCCAGTGGCTGAGGTTCACGAATAAGATGGACTGTCCTCTGCGCCTGCAGGTGCATTTTTCAACCAGAATCTTGCACAGTTATAAGAGAATAATTAAAGTGCATTAATTAGTGCAAATTCACCTTTATCACTATACTATCATGCATGTGTTGGTATTCTGTAATGTTACTTTTAAGCAGAGTGGCAGAAGCAAATTTCACATGGTGTGTGAGCGCCATCTGCTGTCCACATTCTTTACTAAACCTTCAGACTTCAGCTGAGCAGAACTGCTTGAACTTATGTAATCATTGTTAATACCATTAAATTCCAGTAAATTCCGGATGAATTCCAGTCATTTTCTAAATCTGTATCATATAAGTGCCTCTTGTAAGCATTAAAATGTAGGCAGGTAGATAAAATTTAAAATGAACTCTAAATGAGCAGCTCATATGTCCAAGTAAAGACACCAGAAGGTTTACATTACTGCTGTGATATGCATGCTCTGACAGTAGCAGTTGTTAAGGAGTAAAAGGATACAGTAGTCTCCTTCTAATTGGTCGTTTATCATCTTCTCCTCAGTGGTTCTTCTACAAGTTTGACACAAATGGGGCAACATGATCTTCACCGTGCACTTAACCTGTAAATTATTGATTCTGATCAAAGTTGAATGAATCTGTCAGCTGCCTCTGGATGCATTGCTGTTGTCGTGCCTCATTTGCCACTTGAGTATAATTACAAACTGTACATCTGAAAGTGTGCCATGTCTTATAGCATGTAGATAACAGGCTATCAGTTAATTTCATCAGCTGGTGACAGGAGATGGGTGTTTCCACTTATCTGTGAAAAATGACACCATAGGTAATAAAGGATCAGACTTAGAAAACTATGGCTTTTGTTTATATTTCAAAATTTAAAAATAGACTGAAAGAAGTGTGCAGAACCTTTTTTAATGTCACATAGTTAAAAGAAAACTTTCCACATTTTCATTATGCATCTACAAATTGTTCTGAGGGACTGATAGAGCAAGGCAAACTAAATAAAAAAAAATAGCATGCACCTTATTTCTTTTTGCATTTATAGAACAACAACAATCTGAAAGATGCGCTTAGAACGTCATCAGAACACCTGTGTGTAATTTTATCAAGGTCGTTTGGCCTCTGATGTTTCTTTTAGAGAGCACTGATGAATAAACGGCATCATCAAGACCACAAAACACACCAAACAGGTCAGAGTAGTGAAAGGTTTGAAATATGGTTTGGCTACAAAGCATTTCCATACATTTTTAGCATCTCACTGAGCACCATTTAATCCATAAACTATGACAAATAAAAGTATGGAACAATGCCAAACCACCCAAAAAGTCAACTAACAGGGCCAAGAAGGAGCAAATTGATCAAATGATCTTTATTGTCATTATGTAACCATTATAGAATATTGCTGAGGTACTGCTATAAACCGCACATGTAATACACTGACATACATTTTGATATGATTATATAAAAAAGGCCCAACCATCCTTTAAAGAGACTTAAACATGAAAACATATGCACATGGACCAAGGCATTTATTTACATGAAGTGCAGCTTATGCTTGAATAGTCTATGAAATGGGCTGGTATTTTTTGTATATTCAGGGGTGTTTAGCGTCTGCTGTCAGCAGGACAATTGCATGTTTAGTATACCACATATAGAGGAAACATTAAACATGTGAAAAAATGTGCTCTTGTTCCGGTAAATGTAAAATTTAGCTTTTTGCTTTACATGTGCAGAGGGCAATAACCCTGCTTTCACATATCAGCAGGTAATTTGCATAATATGGCGGTGGCAGCATGCATGATGTGTGGATGCTTGACTTCACCAGGGACAGAAAAGCTGGTAAGGGTTTATTGAAAGGGAGTGGAGATAATACAGCTACAATTTTAAATAAAACCAGCCAGAGGCTAGAAAAGATTAGCCTGGGTGCCAGTCCGAACTTAGTCCCGCCCACTAGAATTGAGTCGGACTACGTCAGGCTAAGAAAAGATAGCAGGTAAAATCATTTTAAACCTAAAGACAGACCCACAGTGAAATTAGATCATTTTATATACATCTTCAGATTGGCCCAGTCAAAGTCCAAATCTATACGGTAAGGGTTAGGTTAGTATCTGAGTTTGATATTATTTTTCCACAATAGAATGGAGTAATGTTTTAGTGTAGATGTGAAAAACTCTTATAGACTGGCTGCAGCAGTATAAGCAAAGGTGGGTTCTGGCAGTTAATAATTGTTGGGGCTGAAAACACATTAATATCAAGATTTCTTGGTTGTTGTTTTTTTGTTGGGCCACTGTATAAAACCTCAAATTCAACCCTATTCCTGACAAGTTGAATTGAAAAAGCTTCCTGTATGGGAAGCAAAATGTCTTCAAACTTGGAAATAAAATCCAATGAATTGTTTTAATTTTCTTTTTTTGGAATGACTATGACCTGGATGACTGAGAACCTTCACCAGCATCTCAGACAAAGATAAAGCAGACATAAAGCAAATTAACTTTGGATTTATCCAATAAAAAAAATAATTATGTAATTTTCTTTATATCGTATTTTTGCAAAACAGCTAAAATTACTCTGAAGTAAAAAGATAAATAGAGTTAAGACACCCTCTGCGAAGATATAACAAATAACAAGAGAATTTAAACAAATCAAATATATGTAAAGGTAACATATATACTGGTCGTTTTCTTTTTTACTTTCTTATGAAATAGCATTTAGTATAAGTGGGTTTTTTCTTTTTAAAGGTGACATCATATTTGGCAGCAAGGGAAAACAATTTTTTTTTTTTTTTTATATATAGTTTTTTTCCTACTTTTTAGGAAGAAGTCTCTTCCTAAAAAGTATTATAATTGTTTTTTTACTGCCGTGTTTTGTTTACAGAATATCTATTTAGAACCATTCCTGACAAAATAACCTTAAATATCCAATGAGATATTTTCCTGAAAGATATTGGGTTAGGAAGATAGGTCTGTAGCTTCCAAGTGTACTGTAGCTCCCTCTAAAGACCATTACAAACACTGCACTATCACAAACTTAAACATCCATTTTTTGGAATCTGAAAGCAGCTTGAAATGTCATGGAGTTACTTATAAATTCAAGGCCACATTCATCCATCTAGATTAAATCCTGCATCAGAGAACCAAAAATTTCTCTGATCAGGTAATAACATCTGTTTTTATTTTGCAGCTTCTTTTGCCCTAAGAGTAACTCAGACTTCTGTAAAGCGGCACTCTGGCGTTGACATTTAGAACTACTTAGAAACTATGTCCAACACCATAACAGGGTCCTGGATGTTTGAAGCTCTTTGTGTCTGTTCTCTGCACTCAGGGCCCCACACAGCTAGGGCTACTAGCCCCAGGCCTGTCCAAGCCACAGCAATACTTGGAAAAATTCTAGCTCCCTCACAGCCTCCAGGGGAGGTGGGGGTAAAGCCAGATTTCTTACAGACCAGGGCTCACTTTGAGCGAATAGGAGGATGAGAGAGAGCCCTCTGGGAACCAACCCTTGGAAATAAGCACTTCCACAGGGAAATTCAACCAAAAACATCTGAACTTATACACCCTGAGCTGGGCTCCCAGTGTTCCCAGCTCTCTGGGAGGATGTTTTTGCCACCAATTTAGCAAATTTGGTGACCCTGGTATCGCGTTCAGGGCCCCAAACAGCTAGGTGTACAAGCCCCAGGGCCTGTCGAAGTCGCGGCAATACTTGGGAAAATTCTAGCTCCATCACAGCCTCCAGGGGTGGCCTTTTTTTTTTTCATTTCTGTGCCTTTTTCTGTCATTCTTTATCCCTGCTGGGGATAAAGCACCCTAACCCTTAAGGGGTGTTGGTGCCTATCTCCAGCTGTCTATGGGCGAGAAGCGGGGTAAACCCTGGACAGGTCGCTGTTCCATTGCAGGACAACACAGAAACGAATAGGACAAACAACCATTCACATGCACAATCCAACCTAAGGAGAAATTAGAGAAGAGAATTAACCTAACAGTCATGATTTTGGACTGTGAAAGGAAGCCGGTGTACCCGGAGAGAACCTACGCATGCTCACGGAGAATGTACAAACTCCATGCAGAAAGACCCCAGGCCGGAAAGCGAGCCCAGAACCTTCTTGCTGCAAGAAGGTTAGTGCTACCCACTGCGCCACTGAGCAAATGTCTACTTTTGTAGTAGACATTTGACCCTTGTATTCTCAACACTGATCTGTTTGCTTTGTTTAAAAAAAAATATATTGCATTTTCTTCTTAACAAGAAAAAAGTCAAAGTGGGAAAATTGACTAAAAATATATCTTTTCTTGTTTTTATTTATTTATTTTTTTTATGGTCGCTTTGTATGCTCTGAATCAGTTTTTACTATTTGGGGGATTATTTTACAATTATTATACGTTATTATTGTAAAAATGTGTTTTTGCCCCAGTAGGAACCTTTGTTTTCTGTTGTGGTTCTCGGGGATATATTTTTTTACGGCGCAACAACCTGGACTTCAAACAGGTTGAATGTTTTGGTTTAGCCTACAGTACTAGCTATTTTAATAAAAACATTTAGGCTATTGAAAGAGTTTAACAGCGATTTAAGTGTAGCGTACTGGAATATTTTCTTTAAAACAAACAGTGACTCGCTGTTTGACGGTCACTGTAGTTGATAAGGATGCTTTTCGGTAAGGAAGCTAACATTAGCTGGTCGGCTAACGCGGCTTCGGTAACAAATATGACGATAATTGTGACGCTAAAGATGATGAGGAGGAGCAGTGTATAGAAAACACCGAGCGGACATTGGATCGCGCTGATTTCCTGCTTGTCAATCATTGTTCTGTAGGGGTCTCCTGTCTTTGTGTCTGGTTAGCCACTGAACGCACCAGATAAAGGCAAAACATCCGGCTGTTTTTAATCTTTGGAGGTTGGTATGCTGTACAGTTCAATTATTTAACATTATAGACAATGACAATATAGAATTTAGTGTTTCAGATTCACATTATCTAATTTACTCTGTCAAAAACAGCTACTATAATGTCGTTCTGCTCACTGATAAGTTATCAAATATGTTATATTGTTAAGCAGCGAGTTGCTCCTCCGTGACTTTCTTCCAATGGGGGAGGAAAAGCCGGACACCCTGGATTTTGTGAAGGATTTCCAGGAGTATCTCAGCCAGCAGACTCAACATGTCAACATGATATCAGGCTCTGTTAGTGGCGTTAAAGAGGTGGACGAGCTGCCAGCAGGTAACATGTTTCCCATGTGTATTGTTTTCTTCTGTAGCTTGATAGATGTTCCCAGATGTGAGAGGAATGTTCTTGGTAGTGTTGCTTTATAAATGTTTAATGCTTACTGCACAATTGGGCCCGTTATTAAAGCAATTTACTATATTATTTCATGTTGTTTTTTTGCCAGTTATGCGTCTTGGATTCTGTTTCTATATTTATAATGTACTCCAGTGTGTACATGCAGTAATTTTTCTCTAAAAGCCTTTCTATCTATCTATTTTACAGCATCAAACTTCAAAGCTTGGATTTAATGTTGAAAACCCTCACACCTTTGTTCATCGTTGTGAATTAAAATGATAAAGTATTTTATGATACATTCAAATCTTTTAGTTATAATCTTTATGACCCCCCTAAAAAACCCAGTGTAACCAGTTGCCTTTAGATTTTGAATAGTCCACCTGCTTATAGTTAGTGAACAAGCAACATAATGAAGCACAAAAATGAACTCAAATATAGCAGAGTCATTGAAAGGTTTAAAGCAGGTTTAGCTTGTTAAAGCCAATCTCCAAACTTTGACATCTTAGAGACAAATGGTCAACCCTCCATTTTTAAAATGAAAGGGATTTGGCACAGCTCTAGAGAAAGCGGATAGTGGATTAAACAATAAAGCAACAAGCAGGACAATTTTCAGTTTGCTGCAAAGACCCTCAACACAATTAGGATAACCTGTTGAAAGGACAACCATTAGTTAATCATTTACCAAATTTTAAAGAAAGCCAAAATAAATCCCTATTACAGATAGTGTCAGAAATAAGGGAGAGCAAACAAAGGAAGGTGAGAAAAACATACAAATGTTGGTCAACATGGTAAAAAACTAACACTGCACATCATCTTGAAGACACTTTATTCTGGTGCTGAAACATGTCTTAAAAACTGCCTCTTGAAAATTAGTGTAGAGAATAAATCTCAAAGGTAGCCACTGTTTTTTTTTTATTTTAAAATGATTGTTAATAAGAAATCCCTTTCTGATTCATTTTCTCTCATTTTATAAACCTTTTAATCAGCTCGTTTACCTATATTTTTTAAATATAAGAGAAGCTGCAGCAGTATTAATGAATACAAAACATTTATTAAATATAATTTGTTTTTGGTTTTTTTACTTCATTTGGGTTCTTTGTGACAATTCGTCAACAGAATGCAGCCAGAATGGGCTGGACCATCCTTCAGTGGACATGTCGCTGGAAGAAAGCTCTGGCATCTTAGTTGATGGCTTCGAGAGGACCTATGATGGCAAGCTGAAGTGCCGCTACTGCAACTACGCCACACGAGGGACAGCTCGACTCATTGAACACATCCGCATTCACACAGGTGCATTTTTAGTATTGATCCAAACAAATTGTCGTGTTTTGCAAGCAGTTATTTTGTTTTTCTGGCATTTCATTTTTTGTCTGTCTTTACTTACCTTTCTATGTATAATTGTAGTGCGCGCTAACAAGATCTTCTTTGTTTGGTCACTTTCCTTCAAACAAATAGGAGAGAAGCCTCACCGCTGCCACCTGTGCCCATTTGCATCAGCCTATGAGCGCCACTTGGAAGCTCACATGCGGTCACACACAGGTGAGAAGCCTTACAAATGTGAGCTCTGCTCGTTCCGCTGCAGCGATCGCAGCAACCTGTCTCATCATCGGCGCAGACGCCACAAACTCCTGCCGATGAAAGGTGCTCGGTCCCTTTCTCATAAGAAGATGCTGAGTGTTCTGCAGAAGAAGGCCAGCTCTCTCGGCTACGGTCGACGGCTCCTCATCAACTTCAGCCCCCCTTCAATGGTGGTGCACAAAGCAGACGGTGTGAATGACTTCTCCCATGAGCTTCCCCACTTGCGTCAAGAAACCTTCGAGAACCAGAGTGAAGCGATCGGGGATGGGCTCTCCTCTAATCCAAATCACACTCACCACGAGATGGTTATGGATAACCCTCTGAACCAACTGTCCACCCTGGCAGGCCAGTTAGCCAGCCTTCCCTCAGAATCCCAGGCCCAGACTCAGCCCCCTATGTCTCCAGGAGCAGAGTCCATAGTGGATGAAAAACCCTTCCTCATCCAGCAGCCGCACCCCGCCACAGCTCCTGTTGCCGTCACAGCTAGCATTGCTCACGCTGCCTCTTCTTCCCCCATCACCCCAGAGCCCAGGGCCCCTCCACACAGTAACTGCAGTCCTGCAGGTGGTCCGTGTAGCGAGCACAGCGGGCGTACCAGCACTCCAAGCATATCCAACAGCCAACCCAGTACCCCGGCCCCAGGCCAGTCTGCCCCAATGCAGGACCCCCACACGCTTCATCACTGCCAACACTGTGACATCTACTTCCCTGACAACATCCTATACACCATCCACATGGGTTGCCATGGCTATGAAAACCCATTCCAGTGCAACATCTGTGGCCATAAGTGCAAGAGCAAGTATGACTTTGCCTGTCACTTTGCCCGCGGGCAGCACAAGTGATCGCTAAGAACATTTTAGCACATGGCTTGTTTTGACCCAATACAAGTTTTATTTTTTTGTTCTTTAACTTGGCCTGTATGTAGCATAGTCTTTAAAATTTTACTTGCACACATCAGTGCTAACAGTCAGAGTTATTTTTCCTTTTATACTTATCGAAGTGCCCATTCTAGTATATTACAGCTGCGTCATCAGTGCTTTTGACATCTTGAGAATCTGTTTGCAGTGATGGTGAATGTCACATTTATCTAGATCCATGTCACTTGATTACTATTTATTTAGATATGCACAAAATTCTGCTAAACAAATTTCCACATTTGAAATGAAGTTTAGTGAGTGGCTATTTACTAAATACCTATTCAGTTTCCTCTGTTGGATTTGAAGCATATCTATTTTTAAACGTAAACACTAAAATATATAATGGTATAATGATGAAGTCAGATGTGTTTGCTGGAGCAATACGATTTTAAAATTTGGTCATAGCATCTTTTCGCAATAGAAAAACACTGTCAGGGGTTTACATGCACTCAGCTTTGCTATGAATGAAACATTTGTGAAGCTGGTTGTTTTCTGGCTTATATTCGTCTTTTAAGCAACGCCAATGAATTGCCAAGGTTGAAGTCTGAGCTTTGGTACCTCTTCCAGAAGAGGTTCTGGTGTGCTTCACAGATTCCAGACTCTATGGATATTTTATACTGTTTGAACACTCAATTGAACACTCAATTGTGTCCATGTTTCCGAAAGCCAAAGGCCAAAGGCTAAAACCTGCTATGAACTTGAAGTTGGAAAATAAATAAAGGAAGCTTAACAAGGCCATAAAGTGAAAGACCTCTGACCAAGAATCACTACTGATTTCAGCATTAACATTTCAGTTAAATTGAAATAAAATTTGAAGACTCCTATGTAGTAAAGTCAGAGGCCTAAGAAAATGGGCCTAGTTAGCCACAATGTTGGGAAGTATATCTTGGGCCATGGCCAGGCTTAAACAACATGGGCCTGTTCTATGGATGGTGGTGTGGGGGGTTTGTAGAAAGCAAATTAATGAAGGAAGAATAACTTTTAATAGTTTAATGCCACAGCTAGATGGTTTAATGTTGGACACAACAGTTTTAAACCGATTTGATTTTTGCCTCAGTTCATTGAATGTAAAATTTTGACTTAAAACTGAATAAAAAAAAATGGTCCAATGTTCTTTTTTTTACATCCGTTACATTACCAAAAAAAAAAGTTATTGACGCACCTGAAGCTACTTTTGTTTTTTTCTCAGATATTATAGTTGGCCTTACAGTAGCCTGGTTGAAATTATTTCTGTGATTGGTGCATTATTACCATTTCTTTGCAGTGCCTAACCGTGTCACCCTTTTTGTGTCACAGTTTTAGATGACTGTTATTTTAGAATGATATTTCCTCTTCCTATAGCAGGTAGACCCATAACCTTTCCGAATAGGGGTTTGGTTGTTACAGTTTGATTATTGTGATTGTATTTTCAACATTTTATTGGCCAAATTTCTGCTCCATAAATGCTGCTAACTAATGTTAGAGCCAATGCCAGCTTTTCTGTAACAGAAAATGGCATTGGTGGTGGAACCTGGCCAAAGGACAGTAAAGATGGTTTTTGGTCAGCTTTATAGTGTTGTTTTAAGGTTCCTCCATCATGATGAACTGGTTAACTTGTTTCTTGTAAATCATCTGTTCAGAGTTGTGTGATTTTCTACCTACATTATGTCATTGTCTCACTTTTTGACTTTGTATGAAGTCATTTTGTAACCAGTGTCTGTGTGTTTTGTAAAATAAATCAGATGTGTCTCAGGTTTCCCCTGTAGCACCGTGGACACCATATTCTAGCCTTTTCTAGTTCTTAATGAAAATTTCCATCAAAAACAAAGATCACAGTGCTCTTATATATTAAGTATTCTGAATGGTTGGATAGATGTTCATTTTAAAGCTATAAAGCAGCTATTTCAGCAAAAGGGTCCTCTGTCTTTGGTACTATTGTCTGTTGCTTATCAACACCTGTAGAGGGCGTAATTGCTGCTTTTAGGCACTTCCCTGTTTATTGTACTTTAATCTAATGAAGACATTCTGTATGAGCCGCCTTATGTTCTCTGTGTGTTTTAAATTCATGAATGTTAAAAAACCTCTGGCTGTCATCATTTCTCTGAGCTGAAGTGGCAGAAGACTTTATTGTGACATGGATTAATAATTTATAAGTAAAGTGTTTTCTAATTGACTTTCACTATGCCTCAAGTTTTGTCTTTTTTTTCTTTTTTTCTTCAAAGCAATGGGGCTGCAAGTGTTTTTTAACAATGAAGGGATCACATCTGGGAACATTTACTATAGTTTTGGAAGTGGGAATCAAAATCAGTGGATCAGGTTGTGAGCAGACAGATATTATGGACTCTGCCTTGGCTCAAGGCACAGTTATAGTGAAGAGTATTCAGTTTAGCTCTTGTCATTGAATCTCATAGCTGATTATTCAATACACAGTTTGGTTTAGAAACATCTTAGGATTTTTTTTAGAATTGACAGGAGACAGATGTCTTGGTTTCTGTGTTGGAAATGTTACTGTAAAAAAAAAACGACTGCCTAAAAAAGGAAATGGGGTGATAATGTTTGGGTTTTGTTCTCTCTTTTTTTTTTTTTTTTTGAGAAATATATCAACCTCATTTTGGTACGATCCAGCAAGGAATGCCTACACACTGTCTTTTGAAAATGCATTTAATCAGGTAATGAGACAGGAAAGTTAAAGTGAGTAGGATTTAACATTTTGTTTTTAAAGTAATAGAAAGATGATTGGAGAAGGTTTCTGCAGCATTAAGTTAAGCCTCATTCTGCTTTTCAGGGCCTTCCTTCTCTTTCTCAGGGTCTGCCAAAAAAGAAAAATACTTACATCAATGTTTTCTGAAAATCAATGCTTCCAGTCATATTTAGAGCAGTGTTTGACAGATATTCAAATAAACACTGACCTTTGAGCTTGATAGGACCGACAACCAGAGTTTGGCTCTCATGCTCAGACTCCAACTCCCTGGCTACACGTCTACTGCATCCACGAAGGCAACGAGAATTTAAATCCGAAGCAGGGCAGATCACAACTTTGCACTGGAGGTACACAGAATCTGTTCCTCGCAGGAACTGGAAGGCCCTGAATGAAAAACGGGCCCTGTACTGGGAGCCAGAAGTGATTGGCCGGTAGGTTTCATCAGAAGTGCACCTGAGAGAGTGTTAGGGAAAACAATTTTTGACAAATTAAAACGAGCACAAAAAGATTACTTGGTGTGTTATTTTTTCTGGGCTTACCCATCTCGAACTAAATAATATGGTCTATACTCAAAGTCGAAAGGTGATGGGGAGGCCACACAGGTGTCCAGGAAGAGAACAAGGCTACTGTCAGGCCTTCTCAAGTACACTTGAACATACAAGTCCTGGTTGAGATCTACTAGATATGGGAACTCAGTCACCTTAATATAAGAAAATAAAAGAAAAGAAAATATTACCAAAATTTCCAACACTATTTTTTCTCATGCATTTCTGCACCACCCAAACCCAAAATACCTGAAAATAGAAGCTGCTGGATGTGTAGAAAGCCATTGTTGTATTGAATCGACCTGAACCAATGATGCTGCTGTTCCCACCATGTTCCACAACAAAATAAATCTGGGACACAGAATCTGACTCCATCAGACAGGAGACATTCATCTTTAGGTAAGACTGACGTGTAATTTCTCCATGGGTGGAGGGCCATGCACGGAGGAAGTTGGAGTACACAATTCGGCCATTGACAAACTGTTGATAAGGAAGGAATTTAGGAATCAATCATTTAGATCTTTAAACTTGCACAAGTTAAAAACAAAATAGTGGGGAATGTTCAAATGCAATCAATGTGTTAAACAATTGTTTACCTGTTTAATGTTTCCACAAGTGTTGAGGGGAAAATTAAAAACCACGTTATCACTGGAAATCTGTGGCCTGCAGTATGGATCATTAAGGTAGAGATTATTGTTGTCATATCCCAGAGAGTTCAGGTAAGCTCTATTGATGACAATGTTCATGTTGCCCGAGGAGCAGTCAACACTACCTGAAAGAGGATTAGGTACAATATTTAGTGAAAATGATCAATATTTTTAAAAGTTTTCATGCCAGGGTGTTCTATAAATTGCCACGTCACATTCATTATCTTCAACATATATATTTATGACACACTAGAGCTGTCCAAACCTTTTCCTACACAGTCCCAAACTGTCAATCTGAAGTACTTGTGGGTTACAAAAGTTTTTTCATTTAAACTGTTCAAAATAAAATACAGTTTGTATTTTTTTGGTGTACTTTCCCAGAAACACGAACAGTAATTTGTCGCTTTCTTCAAAGATGTAGTTATATGTCGTTTAAAAGATGGATACGCCAGCAGCTCAAGTCTGCTTTTGAAAAATAGTCATGTAATTTTTTTCTCAGAGACCCTTGTGGAGAGTTTACAGTTTTCCACAAGCCAGGAAGTGGATGCTCAAATATGTGGAAGAAGGTGTTCTGTCTAACTCAGGTCTACAAGGGCAGGTGTCCTGCAACTTTTGCATGTATCCCATTCCCTGCATACCTTTTTAAAATGACTTCACTCCTTCAATGGCGTAAAGCTTATTCTTCTCAAACTTAACGGAGCTATGCTAATGAGCTGATATTTGAGTCAGTTGAGTTGAAGCAGAGACACATCTAAATTTTACAGCAAACAGAACCTTGAGGACTGGCATTCAGACCATTGATTTAGATGAATGTCTATATACGTATGTTTTAGAATGACCCAGTTTAAGTAAAATATTTAATCCAATAAGGAAACTGTAGCAAGACATAAAAATGTATGTTTATTCACACACACACCACTTAACGTTTATACTTGATTTTTTTGTAAGTCAACTCTGAGAATATTTCTGTTATTTTTATAAGTAAAGAAAACACGCCTTTTTGAAACAATAAAATTCTCCATGAGTGCTTTTTGTTTTGTGAGTCGAAAAACCTCCTCCTAAGACTACTCTGGCAATTTTTGATTTTTTTTGGAAAATATTTTGATGCAAGAGTAGCCGTACGAAACAATGGTAATCCCATAAGACATGCAGTTGAAACTGTTGTGAAAGGTAGCCCTATAAATATCAACCTCAAGGTGGGAGTTTACATGATCTTGATAACAACTGGTTTGATAACAAACACTTTAATTCCCAGTAACTAAACTTTGACATTCAGAATCTCCCAGCTGACCACTAAAATCCCAACCAAAGGGATAACTATAAATATTGGAACTTTAGTTTTAAAATAGTTGATGTTTTAAGAGAAAAGTTCACAGAATTGAGATGTGAACCCTGAATTTTAGGCCAAAATATATGAATAGTTAAATTTTTGGTTCAAATAGAACCTAAAACTAAATGTGAGATTGACACTACATCCCATGTACCTGAGCTGGATTTCAGAGAGCTCGTAAACTCAGCCCTGAATCCTCGGCCGACAATAGACCCATCTGTCCGGAAGAGCACAGTCATATAGTTGGAGGTGGAGTGGAAAGAGCTCACACTGTTGTTGCACACTCTCCCCAAGTATGGTGAATAAACAGACGGCCCATCATAGAGTGCAATATAGTCACAGCTGCAACAGTTCTCCAACCTTTTTGGCAAAATGAGGATACAAATTAATTGGATTTAAATACTCTTTTTAAAAGATTTGTACAATTG